GAGATGGATTGATTCAGTGACTGGGGTAATCGGGAGGGAAGAGGGGCAGATAGGGGTGGGGGACAGGGCAACTAGGCCTCAAGGAGGCGTGCAAGGTAGTGTGGGGGACAGGGGCAACGGGGGCGAGGTGAGGAGATGGGGGGTGAGGGAAGAGGGAAAGTTGGGGATGAGGGAGGGGGACGATGGGGGCTGCGGCAGATGGAGGCTGAGGGAAGGGGAAGGTGGGGGGCTGAGGGAGGGAGCATGGTGTGTCTGCACCTGCAGCCTCACCCCTCCCCCGAGCACAGGAAGCCAAGGAGGCGCTGGAGGCCAAGGAGCGCTACATGGAGGAGATGGCGGACACCGCGGACGCCATCGAGATGGCCACACTGGACAAGGAGATGGCCGAGGAACGGGCCGAGTCCTTACAGCAGGAGGTGGAGGCGCTGAAGGAGCGCGTGGACGAGCTCACCACTGACCTGGAGATCCTCAAGGCTGAGATCGAGGAGAAGGGTGCGGGCCGGTGTGGAGGGGCCGGGGGCCGGCTGAGGGTCCGCTCGGGAGGGCCGTGGCTGAAGGTGGACGTGGTTTTCTCCAGGCTCCGACGGCGCCGCATCCAGCTACCAGCTCAAGCAGCTTGAGGAGCAGAACGCACGCCTGAAGGACGCCCTTGTGAGGTGGGACCCCGGGAGGCTGGCAGGCGCCCCGTCCCCAGATGCTCGGCCCCCGCCTTACCCAGGGAGTGGACGCGTCCCACCTCCCATCCCTCAGGATGCGTGACCTGTCCTCCTCGGAGAAGCAGGAGCACGTGAAGCTCCAGAAGCTCATGGAGAAGAAGAACCAGGAGCTGGAGGTGGTGAGGCAGCAGCGGGAGCGGCTGCAGGAGGAGCTGGGCCAGGCGGAGAGCACCATCGACGAGCTCAAGGAGCAGGTGCCTGGGACGCGCCGGGGCCCCAGCCCCCCACCCGCTGTCCCCCACATCCCACCTCATCTCCCCCAACGCCCACTCCTTGACCTCCGACCACCCAGGTGCCCCAGCCGTTCACCCTGTCCCCCCAGACACCCACCCATGCGTCTCAAATGCTCACCTTGTACCCCCAACGCCCACTCCTTGAACAGCAGCCCATGCCCCCAGCGACTTCTGACCACCTACCTAGGCGCCCCTGACCGTCCATCCTGTTGCCCATGATCATCCACCCTGTCCCCCTAAACACTCTGTGCCCCCAGTGCCCACCTCATGGCGTAGAATGCCCATACCCCTCGAATGCCTGCCCTGTGCCCCTAAATACCCAGCCTGTGCTCTTCGAAGTCCCACCCTGTGGCCCCCCGTGAATGCCTGACTCATGACCACTCAGCTCCCACCTTGTGGCTCCCAGACGCCCACCCTGTGCCCCTGAATGTCTCACTCCCCTGAACACCCACCCTGTGGCCCCTGACTGCCTGTCCCTGTCCGACCCGGTGCCCCCACCGTCCTCGGGCCTGCCTCGCAGCGCTCAGTCCTCTCCTGCCACCAGGTGGATGCCGCTCTGGGTGCCGAGGAGATGGTGGAGATGCTGACTGACCGGAACCTGAACCTGGAGGAGAAAGTGCGGGAGCTGAGGGAGACGGTGGGGGACTTGGTAAGACACCACTCAGAGCTTCCTGGGGTGCTGTGAACTGGGCCAGCTGGGTGTGGTGAGGGGGCCTATCTCCCCTGCTGCCCAGACCTCCCACCGCCGTGACCCTCCAGGAGGGGACCTGTCTCCCCTGCTCTCCTGACCTCCTCCCACCGCCGTGACCTTCCAGGAGGGGACCTATCTCCCCTGATGCCCTGACCTCCTCCCACACCATGACCCTCCGTGAGGGGACCTGTCTCCCCTGATGCCCTGACCGTCTCCTCCCACTGCCGTGACCCTCCAGGAGGCGATGAACGAAATGAATGATGAGCTGCAGGAAAACGCACGCGAGACGGAGCTGGAGCTGCGGGAGCAGCTGGACATGGCGGGTGCCCGCGTGCGCGAGGCCCAGAAGCGCGTGGAGGCGGCCCAGGAGACGGTGGCTGACTACCAGCAGACCATCAAGAAGTACCGGCAGCTCACGGCCCACCTGCAGGTGCCTGTCCGCCTGTGCCCACCGCCCACAGGCTGGCAGCCCCCCGGCCGGCCGGCTGTCATTGCTGTCTCCACCGCAGGAGGTGAACCGGGAGTTGACGAACCAGCAGGAGGCGTCTGTGGAAAGGCAGCAGCAGCCGCCCCCGGAGACCTTTGACTTCAAGATCAAGTTCGCTGAGACCAAGGCCCACGCTAAGGTCGGGAGAGCGGGTGGCCGGGACGTGGCTGTGGCCTGGCCTGGGCTTCCTCGGGGAGGAGGTGCTTCATGTCACGGTGTGGAGGGTTCCTGCCTGTGCTCCCCACAGGCACGGGGACTGTTGGTCTGGCGCTGTCTCTGTCCTGGCTGAGGCCTCCTCCGTTCCCACTTCTCAGGCCATTGAGATGGAACTGAGGCAGATGGAGGTAGCCCAGGCGAACCGGCACACGTCCCTGCTGACCACCTTCATGCCCGACAGCTTCCTCCGGCCGGGTGGGGACCACGACTGTGTCCTGGTGCTGCTGCTCGTGCCTCGTCTCATGTGCAAGGTCAGGTCTGTCGGTCACAAGCTCATCAGGAGTCTAGACCGTGCAGTGCCCGGGATCAGGGGTGCCCGGGTCAGGGGTGCCTGGGGTCAAGGATCTAGACCATGCAGTGCCTGAGGTCAGGGATGCCCGGGTCAGGGATGCTGAGGGTCAAGGATCTAGACCGTGCAGTGTCCGGGGTCAGGGGTGCCTGGGGTCAAGGATCTAGACCGTGCAATGCCCGGGGTCAGGGGTGCCTGGGGTCAAGGATCTAGACCATGCAATGCCCGGGGTCAGGGGTGCCCGGGGAAAGCAGCGTTCAGCATTCCAGGCCTCAGAGTTTGGTGTGTTGGGTGTTACACACCAATCAAGGAGATTGTGAATTGAATCCATGTTTCAAATGCTGCGTTCAGAAAGGAAGTTAGATCGTTTGCGGGAGCACAGGTGGAGATCTCATTGAGGTGGGGTTACTGCAGTAACTGAGCTGAGAGTGGTAGGGAGTAGGCGTTAACCAGAGGGCTAGTGTTCCCAGGGCCTGCTCCCAGTCCAGCATCTGTGGTGTGTCTTCCTGCAGGCGGAGTTGATCCAGAAACAGGCCCAGGAGAAATTTGAACTCAGTGAAAACTGTTCCGAGCGGCCCGGGCTTCGAGGGGCTGCCGGGGAGCAGCTGAGCTTTGCTGCAGGCCTGGTGTACTCACTGAGCCTGCTGCAGGCCACGCTCCACCGCTACGAGCAGTGAGTGATGCTGGCGCTCGCGGCTGGGGCTCGGGAGCCGGGAATGGAGGGGCCTGGGAGGCCCTCAGCCTAGCTGACTGCAGCCTCACAGAGCCCTTCTCTGGCCTCCAGTGCCCTCGCTCAGTGTGGTGTGGACGTGTATAAGAAGGTGGGCAGCCTGTACCCTGAGATGAGTGCCCACGAGCGCTCCTTGGACTTCCTCATTGAGCTCTTGCATAAGGACCAGCTGGACGAGACTGTCAACGTGGAACCTCTGACCAAGGCCATCAAGTACTACCAGGTCTGGGGCAGGGCCAGGCATGGTTGGGGGCCCAGAGTTGTGCCCAGTGTGGGTACTTGATGAGTGCTCAGGTGAAGCTGGGGGACGCAGCTGCCTGACCACCTCTGAACTCCCATGATTCACTGTGCGCTGTCCAGTTGGTACAGGCCCACAGCTGACCGTCCGGTTCACAGGCAGTAACTCCCACAATAAGCGCCCTGTGTTGGCGTTTGAGGCCTTTGTTCTCTCACCTCTGAAGGGCTCTGTCTGTGTTGTCCTCCCCAGCACCTGTACAGCATCCACCTTGCTGAGCAGTCCGAGGACTGTACCATGCAGCTGGCCGACCACATTAAGGTGAAATGTTTGGGCCAGTGGCTGAACACCCTATAGAGACCAGGCCCCAGAGGAGTACCAAGCCCAAGGCAGGCCCACTGAAGGAGATGGCCCAGGGCCAGGTGGACCCCTGAGGGGTGATCAGGGAGGTCAATGAGCCCACTAGGCAGAGGATCCGCACAGGGCGGGGACTTGTCGGAGATGAAGGTGGGGCTCAGTGTGTGTGTTGGGGCTCCTGACCCCCGTTTGTCCTCACAGTTCACCCAGAGTGCCCTGGACTGCATGAGCGTGGAGGTGGGACGGCTGCGTGCCTTTCTGCAGGTGGGCACACCCTGCCATCCTCCTGAGTGTCCATCGCTTCCTAGCCCGCCTTGCCCCCACCCCCTCCCTGCCGTCCCTATCGCCGTGCTGACGCAGTGCCCCTCCCATCTCTGTCCCCTGTGCAGGGTGGGCAGGAGGCATCCGACATGGCCCTCCTTCTCCGAGACCTGGAGACCTCATGCAGCGACATCCGACAGTTCTGTAAGAAGATCCGAAGACGGATGCCGGGGACTGATGCTCCCGGGATCCCCACTGCGCTGGCCTTTGGAGCGCAGGTGTGGGGGTGTGAGGGGTGTGTGGCTGTGGGTGACTGAAGGGTGGTGCTTGTAAAGGTACCCTGACGCTGGCTTGTGCCCAGGTATCCGACACACTCCTGGACGGCAGGAAGCACTTGACATGGGTGGTGGCTGTGCTGCAGGAGGTGGCTGCCGCCGCTGCCCAGCTCATCGCCCCGCTGGCTGAGAACGAGGGGCTGCCAGTTGCAGCGCTCGAGGAGCTGGCATTCAAAGCAAATGAGCAGGTGGGCCTGGGGGCCAGGTGGGCAGAGGGGGCATGTGGGCGCAGAGGGGCCAGGTGGGCGCAGAGGGGGCAGGTGGGCGCGGAGGGGGCAGGTGGGCCTGGGGGCCAGGTGGGCGCAGAGGGGGCAGGTGGGCCTGCCGGCCAGGTGGACACAAAAGGGGCTGGGTGAGCAGGGAGGGGCCGGATGGGCGTGGAGGGGGCAGGTGGGCCTAGGGGCTGGGTGGGCACAGAAGGGGCAGGTGGGCCTGCTGGCCGGGTGGACACAGAGGGGGCCGGGTGGGCCTAGGGGGCCAGGTGGGTGCGGAGGGGGCAGGTGGGCACAGAGGAGGCAGGTGGGCGCAGAGGGGGCAGGTGTGCCAGGGGGCCAGGTGGGTGCAGAGGGGGCAGGTGGGCCTAGGGGATGGGTGGGCACAGGGGGGCAAATAGGCCTGGGGGCTGGGTGGACACAGAGGAAGCAGGTGGCCCTGGGGGCCGGGCGGATGGGCACAGAGGGGACAGGTGGGCGCAGAGGAGGCAGGTGGGTCTAGGGGTTAGGTGGACACGGAGGGGCCAGGTGGGCGCAGAGGGGGCCGGATGGGCATGGAGGAGGCCAGGTGGACGTGGAGGGGGCAGGTGGACTGGGGGGCCAGGTGGACTGGGGGGCCGGATGGATGTGGAGGGGGCAGGTGGCTTGGGGGCAAGGTGGGCACAGAGGGATCAGGTGGGTGCGGAGGGGGCCAGGTGGGCGTGGAGCGGGCAGGTGGACTAGGGGGCTGGTTGGGTGCAGAGGGGGCCAGGTGGGTGTGGAGGGGGCCGGATTGGCGTGGAGGGACCAGGTGACCTGGGGGCAAGGTGGGCACAGAGGGATCAGGTGGGCGTGGAGGGGGCAGGAGGCCTGGTGGTTGGCTGGGTGGTTTCACCAGTGCCCCGGCTCTGCAGATCTATGGGACCCCGTCCAGCAGCCCCTATGAGTGCCTGCGACAGTCATGCACTATTCTCATCAGCACCATGAACAAGCTGGCCACAGCCATGCAGGAGGGAGAGTATGACGCAGAGCGGCCCCCCGGCAAGGTAGGTGAGGGGAAGGAGGCAGGAGGGATCCCAGGACACGGGGCCTGAGGCATGGCCGTCACGGTCCCTGTGCTGTGACTCTGACTGGAACACAGAGGGGCCTCTTCCCCCACAGCCGCCCCCGGTGGAGCTGCGGGCTGCGGCGCTCCGGGCTGAGATCACCGATGCCGAAGGGCTGGGCTTGAAGTTGGAAGATCGAGAGACGGTTATAAAGGAGCTGAAGAAGTCCCTCAAGATCAAGGTGAGGGGGGTGGGCGCAGCAGAGATGCGAGTGAGGGGCTCAGAGTGCAGGACGTGGGACATGATTGGAGGGAATGGGGGTGGGGGGGCTGTTAGTATAGAAGGTGGGCCATAGTTGGAGGGGTTCTGGGGTGCTCTTAGTGGATGATTTGGGGCCATGATTCAGGGTGCCTTTAGTGAGGGAGCTGGGCACATGGTTGTAGGGGCTCTGGGGTGCTCTTTAAGAGGGAGGAAGTGGGTCTGTGTTTGGGGGTGTGCTGGGCTTCTTTTAGGAGGTAGGTCTTGCAGTTGGAGAGACTGTGAGGTGCTTATTGAAGGAGACGTGGTCATAATTGGAGGGGCTGTTGGAGTGCTCTTGAAGGAGATGGAGCCATGATTGGAGAGGTTCTGGGGTGCTGTTAATGCAGGCGGACCCTGATTAGAGGGGTTCTGGGGCGCTGTTAGTGGAGGAGGACCCTGATTGGAGGGGCTGTGGGGCACTGTCAGTGGAGGCAGGCCCTGATTGGAGGGGTTCTGGAGGAGGCAGACCCTGATTGGAGGGGCTCTGGGGCACTGTCAGTGGAGGCAGACCCTGATTGGAGAGGCTCTGGGGCACTGTCAGTGGAGGCGGGCCCTGATTGGAAGGGCTGTGGGGCGCTGTCAGTGGAGGCGGGCCCTGATTGGAGGGGCTGTGGGGCGCTGTCAGTGGAGGAGGACCCTGATTGGAGGGATTCTGGGGCGCTGTCAGTGGAGGCGGACCCTGATTGGAGGGGTTCTGGGGCGCTGTCAGTGGAGGCGGACCCTGATTGGAGGGGTTCTGGGGCGCTGTCAGTGGAGGCGGGCCCTGATTGGAGGGGTTCTGGGGCGCTGTCGAGGAGGACCCTGATTGGAGGGGCTGTGGGACACTGTCAGCGCATCTGTCCCCTGGGGCTGTGGCAGGACGTGGGGACAGGCAGCTCTGCCTGCATTTAGGGAGAAGAACTGAGCGAGGCCAACGTGCGGCTCAGCCTTCTGGAGAAGAAGCTGGACAGCGCGGCCAAGGACGCCGACGAGCGGACCGAGAAGGTGCAGACGCGGCTGGACGAAACGCAGGCGCTTCTGCGCAAGAAGGAGAAGTGAGGCACCGGCCCCGCCCGGTCCCGGGGCCCCGCCTGTGCCCCCAGTCCTGCCCGGCCCTGACCCCCTTCCCAGCCGGCTGCCGAGGGCTTTCCTCCGGGAAGGTGGGACTGGGGACAGAGCCACCACCCCTCGCCCCCCACAGAGAGTTTGAGGAGACAATGGACGCGCTCCAGGCCGACATCGACCAGCTGGAGGCCGAGAAGGCAGAGCTGAAACAGCGCCTCAGCAACCAGTCCAAGCGCACCATCGAGGGGCTCCGGGGACCCCCGCCCTCGGGCATCGCCACGCTCGTGTCCGGCATCGCAGGGGGTGAGCAGGGGGCCGGGCGGCGAGCGCTGGGCACGGCCTCGGTACAGCCTCGGCACACGGGGGTCCTCCAGCACCCCGCCAGCTCCCCTGCCGTGCCCTGGGCCCCATGTGCTTGTCCTTTGGGGAGGGCTGGGAGAAGAGGTGGATGGTGACTGCGATCTCCTGAGACTCGTGTCCAGGGTGCCTCGGGGTGCTCCACTAACGCCTTCTAACTCCGCTCTCCTCTCCCCTGCTTCCTGCGGGTCCTGCGAGCACAGAGGAACAGCAGCGAGGTAGACACCGTCCTGGTGGGGGGCAGGGGGTGCACGGAAGAGGGGAGCCTCCACGGTGGGCACCCTGGTGCTGACGTGGCCGGGTCTCCAGCAGGAGCTCCTGGGCAGGCTCCGGGGGCTGCGCCGGGCCCAGGGCTGGTCAAGGACTCGCCCCTGCTGCTGCAGCAGATCTCCGCCCTGAGGCTGCACCTCTCCCAGCTCCAGCGTGAGAACAGCCTTCTCAAGGTGGGGTGCCCGCAGCGGCCTCACAGAGGGCAGGGGCCTGTGGAGGGTTGGGGGGTGAGAGGGCCCGCGGAGGGTTGGGGGATGAGAGGGCGCGTGGAGGGTTGGGGGGTGAGAGGGCCCGCGGAGGGTTGGGGGATGAGGGCCCGCGGAGGGTTGGAGGGTTAGAGGGCTGCGGAGGGCAAGGGCCGTAAGTGACGTGTGCTGTCCTTGGCCCTAACAGGGAGCCCAGATGAAGGCCTCCTTGGCAGCCCTGCCCCCCCTGCACGTGGCCAAGGTGTCCATCCCACCCCACGAGGGCCCTGGTGGTGATGTCGCAGCAGGAGCACTGTACCGCAAGACCAGCCAACTGCTGGACGCACTTAACCAGCTGAGCACGCGTCCCCACGTAGTGGACATCACTCGCTCCAGCCCTGGTAGGGATGGCCAACTGGGAGGTGGATGCGCACCTGCCCCTGCCTGCCTGGCCCTGGTGGCCTCACCAGCCCCCCTCCCCACAGTGGCCAAGAGCCCGTCTGCCCAGCTCCTCGAGCAGGTGGCCCAGCTCAAGTCCCTGAGTGACACCATTGAGAAGCTCAAGGTCAGCCCAGCCTCTGCCTTTCCCCAACCCCTGCCTCTGGGGGGCTGTGAAGCGTTCCCTGAGGGGTGTGCTGGACCTCACAGCTCAGGAGAAGCGTTGGGGAGGAAGTCAGGGATGTGCTGACGGGGTTGGTGTGAAGAGGGCATGCTGAGTACCCCTGGGGCCAGTGGGGCCGGCTTCCCAGGGCTTTAGACAGAGGGGTCCTTCCAGGAGAGGATGGTTTACGGTGGGGGGGGGGATTGGAGGGAAGAGTGAGCTGTATGGGGCCCAGAGGACCAAGCCTGCCCCTGCCGTGTGTCTCAGAGCCCCAAGCAAGCACCCCCCCCCCCCCCCCCCCCCCCCCCCCCCCCCCCCCCCCCCCCCCCACCCCCCCCCCCCCCCCCCCCCACCCCCCATCCCCACCCCATCCCCCGCCACTCAGCCTGAACCCTCCCCTTCAGGATGAAGTCTTCAAAGAGACAGTGTCTCAGCGTCCTGGAGCCACGGTCCCCACAGACTTTGCCACCTTCCCGTCCTCAGCCTTCCTCAGGGTAAGGTTGCACGGGGCAGGGCGCATGTGGGGGGGCAAGGTCCTGCACCCTCGTTCTGATCTGGCAGTCTGAGGCCACACTGTCGCCGGGCTGCCCTGGTCTCCTGTCCACAGACCTTCACCTAGGGTCCCACTTGTGCTCCTCACAGGCCAAGGAGGAACAGCAGGAGGACACGGTCTACGTGGGGAAAGTGACCTTCTCGTGTGCGGCCGGCCTCGGACAGCGACATCGGCTGGTGCTGACCCAGGAGCAGCTGCAGCGGCTGCATGGCCGCCTCATCTCCTGAGCACCCGCCTCTGCTGTCCCCGTGTCCCCCATCCGAGCGCTCTTACCGCTGCCTGCCCCCCAGGTATCCCCTCATCTGAGCACCCCACGTCCCGCCAGGTGTCCCCTGCCGCGTGCACAGCCCCCTCTGCCAGCCCAGCTGGAACCACCGGCTGACTGTCCAGTCTAGCTCCCCCCATGCTGGCAGGCCCCCCTCCCTGGCTTCTGCCGGCATTGCTGTTCAGCTGCACCCTCCTTCCCGAGGGGCTTCAGGGCATGTGGGGGTCGGCTGGGGCCCTGCCACCAAAGGTTGAGTGAGGTCCCCCCACTGTGGACTTCACCCCTTGATTAAAGCAACTTCTGCTTCAGAACTTTGTGGTGACAGGTGTGGGGCTCAGACTGGAGTGGAGGAGGGCCGTGTGGAAGCGCTGCACCCTGTTAGTAGAATGCCAGGTCTCTGAAATGCACATGCAGCTTGCAGCTCAACGAGGGATCCAGGCCGTCCTGAGGAGGGGGTGGGCACCCGGGGCGGAGGAGGCCAGAGAGCCCGTGCTGACCAGGGCCTCCACCCAGCCTGGGCCCCACGGGAGCTGCCCGTCAGCACACGCTCAGCGGACGGAGGACGTGGAGCAGGTGCTCGGGGCTGCAGACTTTCCAGCCCCAGCTTTCTGACCACCTGTACTCTGGCTTCTCTGCTGTGAGGGGGCGGTGCTGCTGAAGGACTGGGGAGAAGGTGGAGGGCACCCCGCACGGCCCCACTTGGGGTCCAGCTCCAGCACGTGCTCTGCTGCAGGCCACTGTCGCTGCCCTCGGCCTCTGCGGCGATCTTTCTGTCCTAGATAGGCCAGGTTCCTTCAGGGTGTCATCCACCGCTGCTCCCCAGAAAGCAGGAGAATGGGCGCTGCTCCCCAGAAAGCAGGAGAATGGGTGATGCTCCCCAGAACACGGGAGAAGGGGTGCTGCTCCCCAGAACACGGGAGAACGGGCACTGCTCCCCAGAAAACAACGGGTGCTGCTCCCCAGAATACAGGAGAAGGGGTGCTGCTCCCCAGAAAACGGGAGAAGGGGCGCTGCTCCCAAAAACAGGAGAACGGGTGCTGCTTCCCAAAATGCAAGAGAATGGCCGCTGCTCCCCAGAACACGGAAGAATGGGCACTACTCCCCAGAAAACAGGAGAACAGGCGCTGCTCCCCAGTAAACAGAATGGCCGCTGCTCCCCAGAAAACGGGAGAAGGGGCACTGCTCCCCCAAACACAGGAGAATGGGCGCTGCTCCCTAGAAAACAGGAGAATGGGCGCTGCTCCCCAGAATGCAGGAGAATGGGCGCTGCTCCCCAGAAAACAGGAGAATGGGTGCTGCTCCCCAGAAAACAGGAGAACGGGCGCTGCTCCCTAGAAAACAGGAGAATGGGCGCTGCTCCCCAGAAAACAGGAGAACGGGCGCTGCTCCCTAGGACACAGGAGAATGGGCGCTGACTGCTCCCTAGAACTCAGGAGAACGGCACTGCTCCCCAGAACGCGGGAGATGGGCTGAGATTTGGGACAGCCGCGAGCTCCACATTGGACATGCATCTGCGTTCACCTGGGAGAACAGCTGACCGTCGGTGGCCCTGTCCTCTTGGCCCTGGACCTCAGGGGTCCTGGTGCTCAGGAGAGGAGCTCGCGGACCCTTTCCCTGCAGTGGTCAGCAGCCTTTGTGCCCCAGTACAGCATTTGCTTCGTGACATCCCAGTGACAAACGTGAGGACACACTGGATGAGCGCCGGCCACAGAGCTTGGCACTTTGGGGATGTTAGACTTGCCTTTTAGAATTTAAAGGTGTCGGGCTATGACCCTGCAGTGATAAAACTGCCAGGGAGGTGTGGGGTGCAAGGATGAGTGGCGGGGACCCGAGGCTGAAAAGAGCTGATGGGACAAACCCAGGAGAAAGAAGACATTTCAAAAGATTTCCTTCTTCCAGAGCGTAGCTGTCCACTAAGTGCCAGGGCAGGGGTTGCTGTCTACTCACTTCTTCAAGTTGCTCACCGACTAGCCAGATGGATAGTGCCCAGGCATCTGAGAAGGGGCAGCGTCTCAGCAGTGACCAGTGGAGAGGCAGTGGGCGGTGTCTGTCACAGCCGTCACCGGGAGACTGTCCACCGGAGTTGAGGCTCTGTGACTGAGCTGACGGCAGAGGTGGCAGGTCTGCCGAGAGCTCGGCGGACTGGAAGATGCTTCTGGAAAGAGGCAGCCTTTGAAGGCATGTGGGTGCCGCTGCAGAGCTGAGGGCTTCCACACTGCTCTCTGCTCACAGACCGTGTTACAGTTGTTCGAGGTAAAGAATAGGGCAGATTCAGAGTAATGCTTTGCATTGAGAGCAGCGACTGTGTGGAGTTACGAGGAGATAAAACACTTCTCTAGGATGGCTCCTTGAACCTCACCCACTGGGCAAAGGTGAGTCACTTCCCAGTAAACAGTAGTGTAGCCTACAGCCTTCGCGACACTGAGACCACGATGTCCAACTTCGGAGAGGTGGTGCCTCCTAGCACTACACACCCACACACACACACGTCATCACGGAATGACTGGAGGACTGAGCCGCGGGAAAGGTGGGCAGGTGCCAGAGGCCACCTCCTCCCCAGCCCACCCTGCACAGTCAATCACAGCTTAGACGTGAGACCCATTGCCCTCAAGTCGATCGGACGCCCAGTGACCCTCCAGGCCAGCAGGACTCCCTCGTGGGCTCGCACAGCTGTGAGTCTGGAAGCAGACGCTCTGGCCTTCTCCTGTGGAGAGGGTGGTAGGCTCGAACTGCTGAACTTGTAGCTAGCAGCTGAGCTCTAACCACGGTGCCACCAGGGGTCTCCTCAAGTGTGAGATGGCAGACGCTGTCTCCATAGAACTAACCACCGTGCACACGGGGAAGAGTGTGAAGATACGAGGCTCTTGGAGAGGGAAGGAATTCTCTACTTGGCTCCGACATTGACGTTCTAAAGGTCAGAGCTTATTCTTGAAATCTTGACGTCTGGCTGGTCCTGGCCTCGGGGGTGGCTGTGGGGCCTGTGCTGGAGCAGACTAGACACGGTGGTGAGCCCCCCCCCCAAGGTCACCGCTCAGAGCTGGCGTGGGTGTCACCACAGGAGCAGGTCAGCCCCCTGTAGGACACTGCACGGCTGCCTCCAGGGCTGAATTTGGCCTGGGTGGGAGGGCCACGCGATGGACAGTGGAGGACCGTGAGGGACAGTGGCTTCTCTCAGGAGGACGGAGTGTGAGTTCACTTAGGTCCCCGAGTCCTGATCTGGGAAACGCCTCTGGTTTGGGTTGTAGGGGCCCATTTTTCCACCTGATGTCCCTCTTGAAGCCCAAGTACAACCCACTTCTCAGAAGAGGATGAGAAGTGGAGAGCTATGCTTTTGTGTGATGTGTGAAGATAACGGATACATCTTGGAGAAAGTGCTACCAGAGTGCACCTCAGAGGCACCTCATCTCACGTTGGATGCATTGTCAGGAGAGGTGAGCCCTCGGAAAAGTGGACGGTCAGCAGAGGAGTGGGAGACCCTCAATGAGATGGACTGATGGCGTGTCAGTGATGCTGGGGCACAGAGAGGTCAGGCTGCAGATCTGTTCACAGGGCCACTGTGAGTCATACTTCATTTGACAGCACGTAACACAAGAGGGCTCTGGTGGCCAGCTGGTAAGGAGCAAGGCTGTCATCCCAAAGGCACACAGTTCAAATCCAGCTCCTCTGAGAGAGAAAGACGGTCATTCTCCTCCCGTGTCATTTACTGCCTCTGAAAACCCACTGGAGGGTCAGCTGTGGGTCACTTCTGTCCACCCCCAGCTGTTGGTGTCTCAGTCTTCAACAAGTCCTTTCTCCACGGTTGTAACCTGGGAGCCAGAGCTGCCGGTGTTCCCAGATGTGGCCACGCTCATCTACGCAACAGGCACAATCTCCAAGGGTGTGGGGGCTCGGTGGCAGGAAGCCACAACCGTACAGAGGATCAGGGTTCGACTCCCCTCATCCACAGGGCCAGCATGGGGGGTGGGGGGACCTGTTCTCCAGTTGCTGACAGCAGCATGTCTCAACACCACGGCCGGGAGACAGAACTCTGAGTAGAAACCCAAAGGTACGCAGTTCAAATCCACCAGCTGCTCCTTGGGAGAAAGATGGGCAGTGTCCTGTGATTCACAGCCACTGATAACCCAGTGGAGGGCCAGCTCTGAGTTGATTCTCACCTGACAGCGCATGACAACAAAAATCTTCATTTCTATTAAGCCTGAATCGGGTTCGGCAGCCCCAGCCCCCATCCTCAGTCTGGGCTGCACTCAATTCAGCAGTGTGGAGACACGGCGAGGCGGGTTCGAGCAGGGAGCCACGTGAGACACATGGGCATCCTCTGAGGTCTGGGGTGTCTGTGCCCGCACCCTCCGAGGTGGGCTGATCATGGGATTGCCCCCACTGCCCCCTAGGACTCAGATCCACCAGTGTCTTCTTAGACAACCCCCTGGGGGGGTCTCGGTCTCCCCGGCTCTCCCTTGGAAAAGGGGGCACAGTTCTCCTCAGCCACAGGACTCCCACAAACCTACCCAGAGATTCTGCTGTTACTACCACAGGCCAGGACCAGGAAGCAGAGTGGGCCAGGCCTTTCCCCAAGAGCCCACCCACCCAGGTGGCCTCATTCCCAGCCAGCCTGGGAGCTGGGGCCCTTCTCCCTCCCTCGGTCTGTGCCCACAGCTGTCCTCTGACCCCTGCCCTAGCCCTTCCCCTGAGGCCTGCACTTCTGAAAGTCAGGACAATGAGCCTCACTGTTTCCCTTTCTCTCTGTGACAGTGAGCAAAGGACACACTGGTCAGAGGAGGAGGAGGAGGAGGAGAGCGGCTCCCAGGCTCTGAGGACAGGACATACTGTTAGGACAGGGAGCGAGTCCTTCTCTGCCTTTGATGCTCTCCACTCCGGACCTTCCTCTCTGTTCCTTACTGCCTTTCTTTTCCCATCAAGTTCTTCGGGAGGACAGTTCAAGTCCATCAGTGGCTCCGAGAGAGGCGGGCCACCTCTTCCCTTGGCGTTACAGCCCCGGTCTGTGGCGTTACAGC